TATGCGATAGATTGGAATCTTGAAGACCGTGGTAATGCCAGTCCTTGCCTTCATCCTTCTGTTTGCGTCCGCTACATCATCCCGGGGGTAGTCATCCCGGTCATTACGACGTCCCCTACCCCGGTTCTTACGATTCGAACCACGGTCCGATTCCTCTGCTCGGTCACCTAAGCGACTGGACTCTTGCCCAACTGCGTGCACTTTGCCTGCTGTCTTCTTGTCTGTTGCTACCGGAGTGGCCTTCACGGTAGAGGCTGGCGCGTCATCCTCTACTCGGATGTGCTCATTGATGCGCTGCATGAGCTGGCCCATGGAGGTCGGCTGGTGCATGGTAAGCGAGTCCCGCAGTCTATGTCCGACCGGGAGACCACGCTTGTATTGCGTGATTACAAGGTTGACCGGGCAGTCCAAGATCTCGTTGAAGGTTTCCTAGTACCTTGAGTTGTATACCTTCAGTGTGTCGCTCGGTTCCATCTTGACACTTAGCAAATGATCGACTTCCTTGGGTGTCTTTGTGTTGGTTTTGAAGCGTGTAACAAACGCCTCGGCCAACTGATGCCACCGTTGTATGCTCTCTTCCGACAACCTCTCGAACCACTTTAAGCCCAGCTCGCCTAAACTTGACGGGAAGATTAGGCACATAAGTCCGTCATTGCGCCTATGTCCGGCCATAACCTGTCGGAAGTGGCTCACATGCATGTACGGATCGATTTTTCCGTCGTAAAGTGTGAACTTAGGCTGGTGGAAGCCTGCCGGAAGCGGTGTTGTTTCTATTTCCGGGAAAAAGGGGTGGCACTCAGCCTAGCCAAGTTCATATCTTCAAAGAGTGGCACTACTTGGCGGGGCGGAGGCATTCCGACCTCCTCGCTGGCGTGAACCCCGTAGGATAGTCGCTGGAAAGCAAGTATTCTCTGAGCTTCTCGCCGGCGAGCCCGCTCCTTTAAAACCGCCCGTAAATCCTCTGACTGAGCAGAATAAGAGTACCTCGAGTCGTCTCCGGACGTGAGGGTTTGTAGGTGTTGTCTTGCGCGCTAGACTTCTCTGCACCCGCGTCGGAATCACCAACCTGGTAACTTCTGGTAATGGATATGGACTGAGTACGTCGCTGACTCTGACCGCCTGAACGGCGGGAAGGGGTGCGCTCACTGTGGTCTCCCACTCCAACTACACCCTTCCCTTTGACATGCCTCTTGAGATCCTCCATCTCCGCCGCCATTCGCCGGATGACAGCATCTTGATCTCTCAACTTACTTTTCAGTCGCCTGGCGTGTGAGTCTCTCCTCCGCCGATGACCGTCTGGACTCCTTGAATGTCCATGACTTCGTCCGCGCTTGTCCCGCGCGTCTCCAGACTGCCCGCCAGCGGGCGTTCCCAAGTCTGCCATTGGATGGATGGCAGGAGGGCCTTCTCTCCTTCGGGTGAACTCCGGGGTAGCTCCGTCTGTGGCGGACAACGGAAACTCGTCGTTGTTCGCCATGGACGGCGATCAGATGAACCTGGAAGACAAGGTTTTGTCTGTCAACTTCTTCCCACAGACAGCGCCAATTGTACGGGGAGCAAATATTCCGGCAAGCCCGTACTCCTTTCTTCCAAGCTCTGTTTATGTCCGATCACCTGCGCGCAAACAATGGTGAGCTACCCGGCGGTGTGTGGCCGGAAAAACCCTCCGACGATCAAGTTAGCACACGCCTTAGGATAGAGAGAGAGAGAGGGAGGAGTGTTTGAATGTAAGAATTTCCTTACAAAGTGTTCATCTATCTCGCATGGGGGGCGCAGACATGCTTATATACCCTCTGTGCCCCATATCTACTCCCAGTCATCTCCTGACGCGTGGCTCCGCTTATCCCATCTGTCAGCATAGACCTTGCTGAACATCACCTAATCTCAACTGCCCGCCATCACAGCTGGAGCTCGGCAGCCGAACTGCTCTATGCGTTGCTGCGCCGTGCCGTGCTTCATACCCAAGCACTTCCCTGGCAAAGACCAAGGAGGACCGGGCTAGGCGGCATGTCGGCAAAGCCTAGCCCGAAGCACCCCCTGTGGTCAGCTTTCCTACCGGTCAAACGGTAACCTCGGCTGACCGCGCCTTTCCGGGCGCCGGTCACTCGGCTTGTCTGGCTTCGGCTATCCTCAGACCGAGCATCCCGGTCCGACCGAGCACTGCCTTGCCGAGCCGCGTCTTTCCGGTCTGGGGCGGGACGCACTCGGCCCAAGTTCTGCCCGGCCCAAGTTCTGGCAGCCCATCTCTGGGCGAATAGTCGATCATCTCGGCCCCATGCGCTGCTGGGCTCTCAACCTGCTCGGTCGCTACCTCGGCCCAACTCCAGATCATAAATCACCCTCTCAGTAACCCAATTAAAAAATAAAAGGAGTGCGTGTAACCTGATGCATAATTAAATGCATGGATGCTTGCACAAAATATAACCAAAAACTTAAAAAATAGGGGGAAGAAACAAATAAACTTTATGATTATCACCAAAATAAAGAAATACCTCATTTTCAGAAACAACTGTATCAAAATACTTTTAAAATAATAAAATAAAATCTAGAAGCATAATTTACCAATTTCTGCATCTCATCAGATTTTTCTAATAAATAATTTACCAAAATTTCCCACCTTGAGGAACAATGTAGTCCAACATCTGCTACAAAAGGGGAAAATGTTTAATAACTCAAAGGAATAGATACCTTAAACACAAATACATAAATAGGTACCAAATAAATGTTGCAGTTAAATTCGAAGTCCAATTAAATTTGTTGAAGGCACTCTTATCACAAAACTCATGAGATACAAATATAGTTTTAATAATATTAAAAACTAAGACAAATATATCACAACCCAATATGCAAATTGAAACATATGGGGAAAAAAAGATGCAAATATAGGAAAAAAATTCCAAAGAAAACCTAGACAATCTGGGGAAAAAATCAAACGAACTTGAAGAGACAATGGACTTTATTTGTAAATCAAACTGATGAAGTGGGTCCTCCGCAAGGCTGGACCATGTTGATGGTGATGTTCTAAAAAAAGTTGCAAAGGGATTTGAAACCCCCAAAAGAACAGCAGAACAGGTTCTAAACAGTTCCGATTCGTAGCTCGAAAGAGCGTGGCTCGAGAGTGGCTCGATACCAAAACGACGTCGTTTTGGTATATATATATATATATATTTTTCTTCTTCGCGTTTTTCTAAAGATGACGTAGAAGAAGAAGAAGAAGAAGAAGAAGAAGAAGAAGAAGGAGGAGCTGGGTTCATCAACATTAACGCCGATCATCAACATAAGGAGCTGGGTTCATCAACATAACCTCTTAGTACCTATCAAATCATTTGGTAAACCTCTTCGCCACCAACCCATACCCTTGGGTGTGTTCATCAACATCAACATCAACATCAACAAAATGAAAATTGTTTTCTTCTTCTTCTGAACAATTTTCTTCATCAACAATTTTTTCTGAACAATTTTTTTCAAAAAATTTTCTGAACAATTTTCTTCATCATTTGGTAAACCTTTTTTCTGAACAATTTTCTGAACAAAATGAAAATTGTTTTCAGAGAACAAATTTTCTGCAAATTGTTCAGAGAACAATTTTTTGCAAATTTTCTGCAAATTGTTTTCAGAAAATTGTTCAGAATTTTCTTCAACCCAAAATTGTTTTCTTCATCAACATAACCTCAGAAAATAATCTCAGAATTTTTTTTTTTTCTGCGCTGCTGGGTTCATTAACATCAACCAAAAAATAAATAAATAAATAAAATTTGTTGATCAATATTAACAAATTTTTTTCTCAACAAATTTTTTTTTTTTGTTCATCAACATCAACAAGATCTGGGTCGACATAAAAAAAAAATAAAAATCTGTTGATCATCATCAACAAAAAATTTCCTTTCATCCTCAAATCCAGATCTACTGGAAAGGGGACCGCCATCTCCGACATCACCGACCGCCATCACCGCCGATCACCGACCGCCATCACCGAGAGAGAGACCGCCATCAACGCTGATCTTCCTTCTCCTCTTCTCTCTTCCTCTTCTCTTCTTTCCCCCCTCGTCTCTTCCTCTGTATTTGAATGCACAAAGAAAGAAAGAAAGAAAAGGAAAAAAAAAACCCAAAACGACCGTTTTGGGTATTCGGGCCAATTTCGAGCCAACAAATTCAAGCAACGGATCATTTTTCGGTACTAAAATATAGCAAAAAACAGCAATGGTAGAGGGCCACAATTTTTGTAGCTCAAATGGCTCGAAATTGCCAAAACGATGTTGTTTTGAGTACAAAACAACTTCGAAATTGCCAAAACGACATCGTTTTGACAATTTTGAGCCATTTGAGCCACAAAAATTGTGGCCCTCAAACATTTTTCAGCGAAAAATAGGAGAGAAAAAAAATCAACTGAAATGAAAACAATCAGCAAGAGCAAGGCAAGAAAGAAAATCAAACCTGAAGAAGAAGCAAGACATTATTTAAACAGAAAAAAACCAGGAAACAAAAATCAACACAAACTCAAAATCAACAAATTTGAAAACCCTAAAAAATTATAACTATACCATTTGAAGTAAAAAAGAAAAGGAAATAATTGCATACATATATAGAGATCAAAACAAGTAGAGATGAAAAGTATTAACAAATTACTTATTGCAACTTTGGTCAAAAGGCAAAATTAATTAGATTTGTCTACAAAACTCACAAATAATCAAATAACCCTACCAAGGACAAGAGGAAAAAAAAAATTGAAAGAAAAGCAGAAACATAAAAACCCTCATTTCTACTTAATTACCCCTCACCATTGTAAGGGAATAATTATTCCGTAGGAGAGAATAAGGAATGACCATTCGAAACCCATTTCAAAAAATAATTCAAGATCATTTCAGAAACCCATTTCAACAATAGATAGAAGACATATTTACAAATCAAACCATTTCAGAACTAAATTCAAAACTATATCACTCAGATCAAATAACCAGATTTCAAAAAATAGAGAGAGAGAGAAATGGAAGTTTTGTTACCAGTGATGATGGTGGTCCGGCGCGAGAGCTATTCGACATCGTCGATTGCCATTGGACTGTGAGAGTTTGAGATAAGAACAAACAGAGAATTTTGAGAGAATACATTCAGAAAATATTTTCTGAGACGTGTGTGGTTCTCTCCCACTCACAAAAAGGATGTAGTCCCAAATATTGTAGCACAAGGAGACGTGAAATGAGTAGAGCCGAATGGAGATTGGCTGATCTCGAATTTGATTCATTGCGTTTGGTTTGAGTTTTTTGGATTAAATTTTTTAAAAATTGAATTTTTTAGTTTTCATGTTTTTTTATTTTTAGTGAATATTTTTAAAATTTTAAATATTCTTTTTTACTTTTTTAGATTCACCATATTTAGATGTATCTAAAAAGTAAAAAATTTGTTAAAAAATATTTTAAAAAATTAATAAATACATAAAAATATAAAAAATGTATTGAATTCTCGTATTTTTTTGTATTGTTGGTATTTAAGGGTTGTTTGGAATGACCTAAATAAGTGCACTTTTTGTCTTTTTACGAAAAGATGTGCAGAAAAGTAGATAAGTGGTGTGATGAAAAAAAGATAAAAAGATGGATTATTTTGGTGTTGCCAAACTTGACCTTAGTGAATTTTTAAAAGATTTCTTTCACAAATTTTTTACTTTTTAGGTATATTTATGTTAGGTTTGTCTAAAAAGTAAAAAAAAAATTGCTTAAAATATTAAAAAAATTCAGTAAAAATAAAAAAATACAGAAAATAAGAAAGTATAATTTTCTGAAAAGAATTTTTGGAAAACTCTAACCAAATGTTTATTTATTAAGCTTGAATTCGGCGTGATAATTAATTAGATTTGAATTTGACTTAATTAGTTAATATTAATAAAATTTGAGTTTAGTTTGACTCAATTTGATAAGATTTTTTTAAATATTATTTAATAAAAAATATTATTCATATTATTTAATATATTTATTATATAATTTTAATAAAAATAAACAAACCGATTTTTATAAGCCAAATTTGAGTTTGAATTTGATTCGTTTAAACGAGCCAAGACGAACCTTTAACAAATCGAATCGCGCCGAGCCTGTTTGTGAATAACTTAATTCATTTGCAGCCCAACTCCTCATGGGCCCCGTTTGGTAGAGTTATGGAAAAATGATTATAGATTATAACTTAACAGATTATGGCTTATAGTTGTGAATTTAAACTGTTAACCTGTTTGGTGCAGCTGTGGAATTGTGGATTTAAGCAGCTGAATAGTGTTTGTTTAATAAGCTGTAAAATATCTTTTTATTGTGTAATTGTCATTTTTGCCCTTATATGATATAAAAATAATTATTTTGTCATTTTTTTTAATTTTAATTAAAAAAATTATTTCATTAATAAAAGTTAATATAATTAGTATTACAAAAATTATCATTTCATTAATAGTATCAATTAGTATAAAATTATTTCATTTGTTCATTATAATTTAATTAGTGTCAATTTTAATTAGCATCAATTAATACTAAAATTATTAATAGTATCAATTAGTGTAAAATTATTTCATTTTTTCATTATAAATTAATTAGTGTCAATTTTAATTAGCATCAATCAATACTAAAATTATTAATTGTAGCACTTGTGTCATTTAAAACTTTTGGTAAGTGTATTTGAATCATTTATTCCATTTTGAGAATCTTTGGTGATGTTGTACCTTAGTTTTAAAGAAGTACAAATTGATTTAAACTTGTTGGGATTGCTCGTTCACGCTTGTTTACGTTGAAAAGTTGTTTGGGAATTTAAAAATCTTGTTCTAGGGTCGACACCGGTCTTGGTGATGACGACACTTTTTTTTTTTTTTTGTTGGCCACAAGGGTTGACACCAATTTGGGAAGGGTCGACCCTTGTTTTGAAAATTGCTCACTTCATTTTGGTGTTGACATCAGTTTGGGAAGAGTCAACACCTATGATGCTGTCAAACATAAGTGTTCTAGCTTTTCTTCATAAGGGTCAACACCTGCGACTTTTTTTCCAGATTTTTCAATCAGTTTGGGGCCTACTTTTTGGGGATTTTGACCAGATATTTTGGGTTGACTTTGTGGCTTATTTTTATTTTGACCTAGTACTATAAATAGGTCCTCATTTAACCTTTTTCTTTACTTTTTCTTCTTTTTTCTCTCTCTAAGCCGTAAGACTCTCTCTCTTTCTCAAAAGCACCTTTTCAATTAAAGATCCTTAGATTTACTTACTTGAAGGCCTCTCCTCGCCTTACTCCTTTGAGATAAATATAGAGCTTGTCGAAGGTTTCATTTTGATTGGAGCAAAATGTCATTTCTCCTCCGTCGACTTTTGGGCTTTTCTTCCTTCTTCCTCTTCTAAGCTTGAGGTAAGGACTTTCTATGCTCTTGTATGATTTTTAACTTGGGTATTTGATGATAGTGCAAGTAAAGATTGGGATTTGGATGATTTTAGACAAACCTAGGGTTTTGGTTTAAAATCAAACACGGGTTTATGGTGAATATGAGATAAATGGGTATGGGGTTTAAATATGAGATCTTGTTGTGTAGTTAATTTTAGTGTTTGGGTTGATATTTGGTAAAATGGGGATTTTTGCCCTAATTTATTATTTTGCATAAATAATTGGGATTAACATTGCAAATGTGAAATTAGAAGGTTATGGTTATGGATGGTGAAATTAGATATATATTATCTTACACTTTTGGAAGTTTTGAATAAACTATTTATCTTGAGATTGAATATCTGTTTAGGGATAATTGTTTTGAGCTATCGATAGAGGATAGTCATGATTGTTGTAGAAATTGCATAAAGATTGGGTGAATTGAAACTAATCTCGTATTGAATGTCATTGAATATGACCATGTGTTAATACATTGTATATTCATCATATTTGGGAGGAGAAAGGGGATGGACTCCATTGAATTAAGTTGGTCTGTTTGTCCCGGGTGAAAGTCCTGAAAACCGCACGTATATACATGGGTGCCAATTCCCGTGGATAAAATTTCTGTAAAATGGCAGATTGAATTGTCTATATGATAATTGTATTTGTAGAGAATTATTGGGATGTAATCTCAGTTGAATGTTTGGGTAACAAGGGATTTAACTCATGGATTGAGATGAAATGAATTGCCATGAACTAAAGTAAGATTAAAATGGCTTGAAATGTAGAACTTGGCATAGTATGATCTTGTAACATCACGAATGATTTGTCATTGGCATCGTATATGCACTCCATACATATACTTTTGTTAAGATTCATATATTGCGATAGATGGTTTTTACTAGGCTTTGGCTTACCCTACTTGGGAAAAACATTTTCTAGTGCTGGTGATATGCCTCCGCCAAAGACTTAGCTTAGGAGGATTTTGGAGCTGAGAGCTCACTTTTGTTGTTTGTATTTATTTGCTTTTTGTACAAGCCTAGGGCTTAATTTGTATTGAGTTTCTGACTTATTTTGTTGTAACCAAGCTCCGTCTTGGAAAGTTGTAAGCCCGTAGGGCATATTTATCTATTTATCTTTCTTCCTCTCTTTTAATTGGGAACATATGACATAGATTCAGGGTTAGGTTTTATGAATGTATGATGCATATGCTTCTCTTTTGTAAACCCCATTGAATTAATGGAAGATAACTTATTATTGTTGTTAACATATAATGCTTATGGTGGTGGGATTGTTGTATTATTTTATTTATTTTTTTTTGCGTAACAACTTGGTATCAGAGCGTACTGGGTTTGGATACTTTGGATACATGGGAAGTGGTTAGTATTACAATGGATTTGTCTCACTTGATAGAGACTTCTGTATGAATGATGTGTACCTCTATGATACATGCTTACGTGATTATATGAGTATGGGATTAAATTTCTAAGATGTTGATTGAGTCTACGGGTCTCTAGAAGTCCTATTTGAAAAGCACTTAATCACTGTTGTTTATAATTGGAACTCTGGCAACGTCCTGGGACGGTCATTATCCGAGAACGAAATTCGTATGTGTTTATGTGACAATACGCTTATGTGGAGTGAATTATTGTTGTCCACCGCTTGAGGACGCAAGTGAGTTAGTTTCGGCACATTTGTATATGTAATAGTCGTTTCTGTTAGCTTTATTAGGATGTCAGGACGTGGACGTAGTGGTGGTAGTAGGCATGGTAGACCTAGAAGGCACGAGGTGCCTTTACCAGATGAAATTTTGGCACAGGAAGAAGGGGTTGGCCAAGCCAATGTGGCTGAACCAGTTGGTCAACAGGCCATGGGTGCGCTAGCCTGAGAAATGGCCGGCGCGTTGCGAGACTCTATGGACAATCTCAGGGCTGAGAATCAAGTCAAGACCCATGTTGATGAGACAGGGCCATCTTTCTTGAAACGGGAGTTTTTCCAGTCGAATTCGGACGAGTTTGTGGGTGATCCCAAGGAGCCACTGAAGGCGGATGAGTGGCTAGAGTAGATTGTGAAGACATTCGAGATGTTTGGCATCGAGGACGACCAGTTGAGAGTGACCTTGGCATCCTTCTAGCTAAAGGGAGATGCGGGTAAGTAGTGGAAGTATACGCGTGGGAGTATCAGAGTGACTTGGGAGGCTTTTGTCAACGCTTTCCAAGACAAGTTTTTACCTCCCATGATCCGGGAGAAGTTGAAAGACCAGTTCTCTAAATTAGTACAGCTGATCACTCCGGTGGTTGAGTTTGAGGCCACATTTACTAGTTTATCGAGGTTTGCACCAGAACTCATGGCGATTGAGGAGCGCCGTTGTTTAGAATTCGAGAAGAGATTAAGGACCGGGCTAATGTTCAAGGTGGCCGAGTTGATGATTAGGAAATATGGACGCCTTGTAGAGACGGCGGCTCATCTAAAGACCATAATGCAGATGGAGGAAGAGAGAATGAGGGGCTCCAGGAGGAGTCAGGAGGGTCAGGGAGATAGTAAGAGGCAGAGGGGTTCTAATCCCCAACTATCCCAAGGAGCGCATTCGAGGTCTACCTTTCTAGTGTCGAGTTCGGGTTCTAGGAGAAGTGGTCAGGGAGACTTCACTTGTTTCAAATGTGGTCAGTTGGGCCACAAGTCTCCAACTTGCCCACAAAGGGGAGGAGGGCAGCGAGTAGCTTCATCTTCGACTCGTTCTCAGGGCCAGAGTCAGGGCAGAGGCCAGTCACTCACTTGTTATCAGTGTGGGCAGGCGGGGCACTTGAAGAGATTTTGCCCTCAGTTGGGTGGTACA